CCCCCAGACCCATCACCTCCAGGCACAGCACCCCCCTGCTCAGCACCCCCAGGCTCCGCACTCTCCGCAGTAGCACCCGCAGGCCCAGTACCCCCAGCAGTAGCACCCCCAGGCTCAGCACCCCCGCGCACAGCACCCCCAGAGTCAGCACCCCCAGGCTCAGCACCCGCAGCAGCACCAGAGTCACCTGTAACCTCGACCGGGTCAACGGCGTCTACCTGGGACACACCTGAGGGGGCAGGAACCTGAGGGGGGAGGGGGTCTACCGGGGGGGGAACCGGTACAAGGAAGTCCGGGGGAGGGGGGAGGGAAGGAGTGCGGTAGGGGAAGAGACGGTAGAAGGGGACTGACTCGTCGAACGTGACGTCCTGGGAGGACAGAACACGACGAGAGGAGGGGTGGTAAAACTGCCACCCTGGGGCGTCAGTGGGGAAGCCAAGGAAGACACAGGGAGCAGCACGAGGGGACAGCTTGTCCGCAGACAAGTCGCGGACAAACGCCCGAGATCCCCAGACACGGAACACAGACGCATCGCCAACCTTCCCTGTCCACAGCAAGGCTGGGGACATCGCAGGCCGAGAGACCCGGGGGTGAAGGTTGAGCTGATGCGCCGCGTACCTCACCGCAAACGGCCACAGAAAATGGGGGGCAGCCGCATGCATCATGGACGTACGAGCGACATCCATGACCATGCCAATGCGGCGCTCAGCAATCCCATTTTGCTGTGGTGAGTCCGGAAGCGTGAAGGACTGGCGGATGCCTCGCGCACGACAGTAGGCACGCAGAAGGCCAGAGGAGAACTCTCCGCCTCTGTCCGAGTGCAGACGCAGAACAGGAAAGTCCGAGTCGAAGCTCTTCCTGAGTCGGAGACGAGCCTCGCGGATCCAGTCGATCAGCACCTCAGTGACCTCACCCTTGCTGCGCAAGGGGAGGACTGTGGTGTAACGCGAGTAGTCGTCAACCACCAACAGGAAGTAGCGCTCGTAATCCTGCCCACGGACGGGGGCTGGGCCCCACACATCCATGTGAAGCGTCTGCAGGGGAGCCTCTGTCGGGGGGAAGTGGGAGGAGTGAGGAGTAGCCCGGAGGCGACCCTCGACACAGGGGACACAGGAAGGTCCTGGCCCGGAGGGGAGAGGAGGGAGAGACTGGGGAAGACCAGAGACAAGGACACGGGAGGCCATGCTCCGAAGACGGGGCAAGGAGGGGTGGCCAAGACGGTGGTGCCACAGGAGAGTCTCGTGAGACAGGAGGCGACAAGTACAGGGGGCAGACTCAGGACCAGACCTGGACGCAGCAGCAAACACCTGACCCGACGCTGCTACCTGACCGGACGCGGGGACAGGAGGAGACTCAGTGGTCAGGGTGTAGAGGCTCGACCCCGGCCGACGCGAGAACGTGGCCAGGTGCCGGCCTGTGCGTGCGTCCGTGCAGTGGGTCACCCGCTGACTCGCAGGAGTGAACTGGTGAACCCCCGCATCCTGTAGGTCTGCACCACTCACCAAGTTCGTCGAGAACGAGGGGAGGTACAGGCCAGACAGGGTGCCCGAGGGGGCAGCCGGACACGGGAGGACAGTGGAGAAGTGAGCGAGGACAGGACCCCCAGAGGGGTCAGCCAGGGAGACTGCAACCGGCCGACCAAGCGGCGTGGGTGTGGTGCGGTCCCGAAAGAAGGAGCGAGAAGCCCCAGAGTCAAGTGTAAAGGTGAGGGAGGCCGAAGCCAACGCGGTACCTGAGAGCGCAGCCTCACCCGCACCTGAGGAAGCAGACTCACTAGCACCTAGAGCAGCAGCCGCACCTGAACCTGGAGCAGGAGACTCACTAGCACCCAGAGCAGCAGCCTCACCAGTAGCTAGAGCAGCAGGTCCTATACCTGGGTCAGGCGGGACGCACAGGTGACCTGCACGGTCAGCACTAGTAGGCAATGCATACATGGCAGTGAGAATAGCATCATAGTCAAGAGCATATATATCTACCCTCTGCCTAAGCAACTCCACCCAGTCGGGAAGCTCAGCCTCGTCGCCAAACACGGTACGCCAGGCGTCGCTCAGACGGGCGAAGCAGCGGGACGGTGTATGACTACGTGTCCCACAAGGCTGACCAGTCCGAGTACCAGTGCGAATCACGTAAGAGCAGCGAACAGCACTGAGAGACCCTCCACTCTGAGCGTACCACTCACGAAGCTGGCGAGGCGTGAGAGACACGCGAGAGGGTCGCGGGAGCTGCATCTGGCCGCCACCACGAGTAGAAGCAGCAGGAGTGGTAGTAGGAGTAGCGTCGCCACCCCTACAGCCCCAACCAGCGTACCACTCACGCAGCTGCTGCGGCGTGAGGGACTCACGCCGGCGTCGCTGGGGCTGCATTTGGCTCCGCAAGTAGAAGCAGGAGCAGGATTAGCAGCAGGGAGGCAGGCAGCCAGGCAAGCCAAAAGGCAGGCAGGCGGGCAAGCAGGCGACGCGCAGCGTGCTAGCAGGGCAAGAGCTCACCAGTGGTGGGAAGAGTAGGTTCGGCGACTCAGCGGCTCGGCAGCTCGGCGGCTCGGCGGCTCGGGCGACTCGGGCGGCTCGGCGGCAAGGCGGCTCAGCAGCAACTGCAGCTCAGTAGCTCGGTGACTCGGCGGCTCGGCGGCAGGGCGGCTCGGCAGCAACTGCAGCTCAGCAGCTCAGCGACCCGGCGGCTCGGCGGCAGGGCGGCTCGGCTGTGGGGCGGCTCGGCTGCTGCAGTGGGAGATGAAGGAGGAGGAGAAGCAGGGGAGGCCACACACCTGCCACCCCTCTGCTGGCGGCCCCCGAAGGAGCCGCGACGGGCGACGGGAAAAGGGGGGGGTGGGTGGTGGGGGGCCGGTAGGTGCAGCGGCGGGGCCAGCAGGTGCAGTTGCGGGGCCGGTAGAAGGGGACGGCAGGAGCCGTCAGGAGGGGACGGCGGGGCCGTCAGGAAGGGACGGCGGGGCCGTCACGAAGGGACGGCGGGGCCGTCAGGAGGTGACCGGGCCGCGACGGGGGCAGGCGGCGGGGCTGCGTAAGGGCCTGGGCGGGGCCGCGACAGAGCCGTCGGTGGGGCCGCGTGAAAGCCGGGGCGGGGCCGCGCGAGAGCAGGCGGCGGGGCCGCGAAGGAGCCGGGGCGGGGCCGCGTGAGAGCAGGCGGCGGAGCCGCGTAAGGGCCTGGGCGGGGCCGCGACAAAGCCGTCGGCGGGGCCGCGTGAAAGCCGGGGCGGGGCCGCGTAGAAGCCGGGGCGGGGCCGCGCGAGAGCAGGCGGCGGGGCCGCGAAGGAGCCGGGGCGGGGCCGCGTGAAAGCCGGGGCGGGGCCGCGTAGAAGCCGGGGCGGGGCCGCGTGAGAGCAGGCGGCGGGGCCGCGACAGAGAGGGCGGCGGGGCCGCGTCAGTGAAGGCGGCGGGGCCGCAGGGGAAATGGCGACCCGAGGGGTCGCTAAAAAAAAAGATCGCGCCTCGGGGGGCGCTTCGGTGGGCCCAAAAAAACGGTCCGTAGAAGGACCCGCTCTATACCATGTGAGAATAAGCGAACAGGAATGAATGAACTAGCAGTGAAATGAGTACAAGTAGGAAACCCTAGAATTGTGTACCCCCTATAGGCTAACCCACTGTAGCCTACACAAGCATAACATATATAATGTTTGACAGATGGCGCATTTCGCCCCATGCCGAACGACGATCACAGCCGAAGATACAGCCAAACTGTTCATCTCCACCATCGTACGCCTACACGGGTTACCTTCGGCGATCATCAGCGATCGTGATCCGAAATTTACGTCGAAGTTCTGGCAGGAAACGTGGTGACAGTACGGTACCCGCCTGCAGTTTTCGTCGTCATACCACCCGCAAACCGACGGACAGACGGAACGGACAAATCAGACCATGGAACAGCTGATTCGCACCAACTGCCCCGACATTAGCAAGTGGGAAGATTCGTTACCGATGCTGGAATTCGCGTACAACAACGCCCCGTCGGCCACGACTAAACAATCACCTTTCTTCCTGAATTACGGGATAGATCCCGTGGTACCCTCTTCAACGACTGTGGACAACCCGGTACCAAGATCGCAGCAGTTTGTCACGGAACTGCAAACCGCCCGAACAAAAGCAGCCGATTTCATTCGCAAAGCTAATACCACGGCCAGTCGCCAGGCGGATAAACACCGACGAAACTTACCCTTCCGCACAGGGCAGGTTGTGCTTCTGGACACCAAGAACCTTCGGCTGCCGCAACCCGCGAAATTACGGCCCCGATACGTGGGACCATTCCGTATCATCCAGATGGTGACACCGGTCACCGCGAAGCTGCTGCTGCCCGACGATTGGAAAATCCATGACGCCTTCCACGTCAGCCTGTTGCGTCATTACGACCAGCCGCAGTCGCCAGCTGTTGCTCGCCCAACCATCGCGCCGACCACTCGCCCCGTGGCAGAGCCAACGCTAGAACCTTGGAGGATTCTTAACCATCGCGTGGATGTGACTGCTACCGGCCGCTCGGTGAAATTCCTGCTTCGCTGGAAAGACCGCACGAGCGAGGACGACACGTATGTCGCTGCTGATTCGCTACTGGGACACCCGGTTTTGGACGCTTACCTGGCCCGTCGTGGTGTTTCGGACATTCACCACCTTTCTTAAAGGGGGGGGTAGTGTAAGGAATTTTCCGGATTCCTTACTGGGTCACACTGTACGCGTACAACTCCGACTTTCGGAAAACCAGGCTCGGCCCGCCGACCTCGCCTTCCGAGCCACCACCGCGTCGTTTTCGGGTTTCCAACCCCGAACCTACACCCAACCATCTCGCGACCCCGCGACCTCGGCCTAGCTAACCTTGCTATATCATGCCTAGGCCCCGTTGTTCATGCAGACGTTGTAATCACTTCCGCATTATTGAGTTCTGCGCACTCTTTCCTTTCACAACTTATAACAAGAATCGTCGGAAATACTCAAATTCGATTACTATCAATACTTTTACAATATCACCTGATTACACTTATTTCTTAATGCAACATTCTACAAGCTGGTTGTGACAAGCTGCAGTTTGCGAGCCCGGAAGAACGAGTGCCGTTTCTGCGCGACAGACTCAATACGCACATTCTTCCGTTTGCGCTTGGAAGGAGCAGAGCCAGGGACAGAAGCTGCGGGGCTCGACTGCTTGACCGCCCACGCCTGCCCCTCCTCCTCAGCTTCATCCGCCTCCCTGCAATGAAAAGAAAGCACAGAAAATTCAGCACCAAAAGCTAGCTTCTAGCCAAACGTTTTGACAAAAGACTTCGTTATGTAGCGTAACATATTTGCTTGTGTGCATACCAGTGCACAGGCACGCAAGAGGCGTCCATGATGGTTTTGGCAGTGGCCCAGCTGAAGCGCACGAGGGAGGGGAAGCCAAAGACCGGGTCCACACTGCCCGCCAGCCACGCCTTGGTGGCGGGGTCTGGGGGAAATAGGGGCAGGGAGGGGAAGGGAGGAGAAGGGGGGCCGAAAGGAGCAAGGGGGAAAAGCAGTGACGCAGTTAGGACAGCTGAAGCGCACGAGGGAGGGGAAGCCAAAGACCAGGTCCCCCTTCTCCTTGGTGGCGGGGTCTGGGGGGAAATAGGGGGAGGGAGGGGTTGGAAAGGGGAGAAGCGGAAGGCCAAGGATGAGGTGAAGGGGGGAAGGGGGGTTTGATGAGAAAGAGAGAAGTGGAGGACAAAGGATGGGCAAGAAGAAGGGATAGAGAGAGGCCTGGTGGAGAAACAAGGGGGGCTTCATCCTGCAGTCCACATCGCCTCCCTTCCCATCCCTTCTCATCTTCACTCATTCCTCTTTCCACTCCCTCCCCTCCACAATTCTTCTTGCATCCCCTTCCTCACGCGTTTTTGCCTTTTCCGTCCTCTCCACTCCCCTCCTCTTTCCCCCCCTCACCTCCAGGGTATGACTTCTGAGTCGACTCCAAAGGCATCCCCTTCCTCTCGCCTCTTTGCTCTTCCCATCCTCTCCACTACCCAGCTCTTTCCCCCTCTCACCTCCGGGGTATCCTGAACCCAAATTCAGATTGAACGCTTCTCCTGCCGCTGCTGCTCCTCTTCCAGCTTCTTCAGCTTCTTCAGCTTCTTCAGCTTCTTCTGCTTCTTCTGCTTCTTCTGCTTCTTCTGCTTCCGCTTCTCCTCCCACCGCTGCTGCTGCGTCTGTGATTCCAGCTGCCTGCTCCCCTCCATCTGCACAGTCTTCTCTGTAGCCCTGCTCTTCCCCCGGCACTGACACTGCCTCCGGCTGACTCAGAGGACTGCGTTGACTCGGCTGACTGGGTTGACCGGGTTGACTTTGCAGCTGTGAGGGGCGGACCGACGGTGCATCCTCAGAGAAGGCCCACTGCTGGATGCAGCGATCGCGACTCACCTGGTGGGTGCGGGAAGGGAGTGCGGTGTTGACTCGGTTGACCGGGTTGATATTGTTGCTAATAGGCGGGAATAAGCGGTGCATCTTCAGAGAAGGCCCACTGCTGAATGCAGCAATCAAGAGTCACCTGGTGGGCACACGTGCAGTGTGGGTATGACGGTGGGGGGAAGGTGTGCAGGGTTGACTCAGTTGACTGGATTGACTTTGGTGATGGGTGGGGTGGGCCCACAGTACATCTTTAGAGAAGGCCCACTGCTGGATGCAGCGATCACCTGTGGGTGGGGGGAGGGTATAGCAGGGTTGACTTGGTTGACTGGATTGACTTCTGCGTTGGGTGGGGAGATCCCACGGTGCATCCTCGGAGAAAGACCACTGCTGGATGCAACGATCGCGAGTCTCCTGGTCGCCTAACAGCCTAACAGCCTAACAGCCTAACAGCATAATAGCCTAACAGCGTAACAGCCAAACAGCCTAACAGCCTAACAGCCTAACAGCCTAACAGCCTAACAGCGTAACAGCCTAACAGCCTAACAGCCTAACAGCCTAACAGCGTAACAGCCTAACAGCCTAGCAGTGTAACAGCGTAACATCGTAACAGCGTAACAGCCTAACAGCGTAACAGCCTAACAGCCTAATAGCTTAACAGCCTAACAACCTAACTCCTATCAGCCTCTTATCAGCCTCCTATCAGCATCCTATCAGCCTGCTTTGCCATGGAAGCAGAGGAGGGATGCAAGCACTTCTGTAACACTTTGCAAGCTCACCGGCCCTCGCCTTAGCAGCGATGCTTGCAGCGCTGATGATGGGGAACAGGCTGCCGGAGGCTGTCTTATGAGATGGTTCGAGTATGGTATGGAGGAGGGATGCAAGCGGTATGGAGGAGGGATGCAAGCGGTATGGAGGAGGGATGCAAGCGGTATGGAGGAGGGATGCAAGCGGTATGGAGGAGGGATGCAAGCACCATGGAGGAGGGATGCAAGCGGTATGGAGGAGGGATGCAAGCGGTATGGAGGAGGGATGCAAGCGGTATGGAGGAGGGATGCAAGCGGTATGGAGGAGGGATGCAAGCACCTGCCTGCCCTCACCTTAACGACAATGCTAGCAGCGCTGACGATGGGGAAGAGGCTGTCTGCCTTCTTTGCCACGTGACCCGCACGAAGACAAAGACAGGGAATGCAGCTGACGATGAGGAACAGGCTGATGCAGTTGATGGGGGAGCGATCCAGGCTCATCTGCCCTCACCTTAGCGGCAATGCTAGCAGCGCTGACGATGGGGAACAGGCTGTCAGCCTTCTTTGCCACGATGAACTTCACGCGGGGAAAGTGTTTCTCCAGGCGCTCCTGGTGCTTCTGAGGGTCGCCCAGCGTATCCACGTATGCCTGTGTGTGGGGGTGATCAGAATGGGGAGTGGGCGGGGTGGAATAAGGGAGGGGTGGGGCTCATTGGGGGCCCCTTGTGACCCGCATCCGGGGGAAGCGCTGCTGCAGGTGCTCGTGGTGCGTCTGTGGGTCGCCTAGAGTATCCACGTAGGCCTATGGTGCGGGGGGGGGGGGATGAGAGTGGATGGGGGTTATTATCTCTCTTAGCCGCAGTGAACCACACGCAGGGAAAGCGCTGCTCCAGGCGCTCCTGGTGCTTCTGCGGGTCACCTAGCGTGTCAACGAAAGGCCTGTGGTGGGGGGGGATGAGAGTGGATGGGGTTATCAGCCTTCTTAGCCACAGTGATGCGCATGCAGGGGGAACCGTTGCTTGGGTGATGTCACCTCTTGGCTGCGATGCGAATCCCTTGAGGCTCACTCACACCCTCTGGGGGAACATTACTCCAGACAATTGTGCGCTGTGTGGCACAACCGAAAAGGACGGTCCTGCATGATGGCTTTTGGGCGTGTGGGGGGAACCATGTCTATCCATGAAGGCCTGTGTGTGGGATGAGGGTAGGGGTCGGGAGGGGTGAAGAATGGTGCCGAGAGGTGAGGATTCATGACCTTTGCTGTCCAGTTTTTTTACTCGGATTGACTGGTCCAGCACGCATTGAATGAGCTTTGCAGTCGACTCAATCTCGTTTCACTCTTCTTGGCTCTGTTTGACTTGGTTTGACTGGGTGGGAGGGACTCACCTCCATGATGTTGACTCCTTGGTCCAGCACGCGCTGAATGAGCTTTGCCGTCGACTCAAAGGCGATCGCGTTCAGACTCGTGCGCTCCCTGCCATGCCATGCCATGCGATGCGATGAGAATACAGGGAATGGTGTGGTGGGGCAGGTGGTGAAATGGACTATGGCACTGTGCGTTGTGCGAGGGTTTAGGGTTTAGGGTTTATGGTGCTTTCGAGAGCCATAAAGCCAAGACAGCAACGCATGTGTTTGAGGATTCTCAAAAGTCGAATCGCATGCTTGGTAGCAGCTAAAGGAAAGCCCAAACACATGAGGACAGCAGATCCGGAAATCTACCTGAAACTCGCCTGAAGGACATCGGTGCAAGCACCTGAAAAAACGCCTGAACTTACTTGGAGAGCATTTGGGCAGAGAGCGCAGCAGCACTGATGACGTCAACCTCCCACCCGATCACAGTCGCCTCCTCTGCTGCTGCTACCCCTGCCGCTGCCGCTGCTGCGCTGCCTGCCTGTTCTCCTCCACCGTCACTGCTGGCCCCACTCCCAACTTCTGCAGAGTTGCCATCCCCACCTTTCCCATTCCCATCAAGCCCACTCCCACCCTTTCCATCCCCATCACCACCCCCACTAGGTGCCGCGGGGTGTGCCGGGCCCCCCATGGCTCGAAACAGCTGCTCCCGCCTGGCCTCTGTCAGGGTCTTGGAGTCTGAGCGTGGAAGAGGGGGAAACGGGGGGAGGTGGGAGCGAGGCAGAGTGGGGGAGAGGCATGGGGGAGAGGGGGGTTCAGCACCATCAGCAGCAGTGGTGTGTGCAGTAGGAGTGTATACTCCATTACCCCCGATAGCCCTGAAACAGCTGCTCCCGCTGGGCCTCTGTCAGGGTCTTGGAGTCTGCAGGTGAAGGGGGTGAGGGTGTGGGGGGGAGGGTGGGGAGAGGCAAGGAGGGGAAGGCGGAAGGAGAAGAGGCAAGAACGGGCGGGAGACGCAGACGGGACAGGCGGGAGGGGGACGCCAAACCCCACCAAACCCCACCACATCTTCCACCACATCTTCCACCACATCTTCCACCATATCCCACCCAGCGTCACTGTAACTCTACAGCCCTGCCTCCGGACATCTCTCTCCCAATCTGCATTTGAGTCGACTCAACACAAAAGCCCATCAGGTTTCACCAGAACCCACCAACACCCAGCACCCAGCAGCACCCAGCAGCACCAACACCTACCAGCAAAGCCCATCCTTGCCACTCGCTGCTTGCTGCTGGCAGCGCAGTAAGCAACCGCATACACCATGGGCCCTGCACGCCCAGCACAGAGGAAGTAAAGAGGGGAAGAGGGGGGAGGGGAGTGGAGGGGCCTTTGAGTCGACCTGCTGCTGGCAGCACTGTATGCAGCCGCGTACACCATGGGCCCTGCACGCACGGCAGCGGGGGAGGGAGGGGAAGAGGGAGGAATAGGAAAGGCGAGAGGGGCAGTGAAGTGAACACACGTGCACTTCTGAGCTGACATGTCTGCCACGTGCTGACAGCACAGCACGCGCACGCGCACGCGCACAGCACAGCGGAAGGGGGGAAGGATGGGGGAGAGGCGGAAGAAAGGGGATACAGAGCGGGAGGGAGGGCGGACGGAAGTGTGGGAGTGGGGATGCCAGGGATTGTTGCGAGGAGGCGGGGAGAGAGGAAGAACAGAAGGGGGTACCTTTCCGCGATTGGGGCAAGGGATATCCGCGGACGGGGAAAGGAATTTCCGCGATCGGAGCAAGGCATATGCGCGGGCACAAGTTACAACCGGAGCACACTACGACGGATAACGGGGCGAGGTATTACCGAGTACGGGGCCTCGGCCCGCCTCGTCAATCCCCATAATGCACGGCTCGGACCGCCATGCCATGAGGAGGGCGAGATAGCGGGAGAGGGAGGAAAATCTAGCGCGAGGTGACAATGCGCGGAGGAGAGACGCGAGGTTGAAAGTGAGAATGGATGCGCGTGGTATGCGATTTTTGAGATGCCTTAAAAAGGAGACGAGGCGGACGCGTAGCGGGTGATCACGACGAGTGGGCACGAATGGAGGTAGCTTTTGAGTCGACTCAGAAGTGAACGGAGGTAGCCCACGCCAGAGAAAAGGGAGGGAGAAGAGAGGAGAAAGGGAAATGCGGAACACGAGGAAAAACGAAAAACAAACTGACGGCTGTGGGATTTGAACCCACGCCTCTTTCGAGATTGGAGCCTAAATCCAACGCCTTAGACCACTCGGCCAAACCGTCACGTCCTACAAACTTAAAGAACAACTAATATCATTACTGGTGTAACGTACGTTACCTGCGGACATCTGCTCTAAACATCGGTCCAGTCAGGCGCGTTTTGATAATGAAGGAATTCGCCTTGTGCGGCGTGTGCCGCCTGTCGCACGATCAGGGCCGACCGCACATCTACACCAAGCGACACACGACGGCGCTTGCGACGCTTCTCGACAAGGAGCTTCGTCGCATGGCCGCCCTGGCGACGTGGCTGGAGTCGCACAGTCGGTCGCTAGCCTCCACACAAGAGCAAAGCGCGCAGATAGCGGCGGGGATAGCCGCGCATGGCCACGCGGACGAGAGGCAGAATGGTGCCCACAGCCGCGAGGAGCGACGCGATCGGCGGTCTCTGTCAGGAACGCGCGGCGACGATGGAACCGGCGATAGAGTGGCTATAAAAAGCGGCAGTGATGACGGCGCGAGTGTCGCGTGCGAGGAGAGTCGGAAACGGAGCCGATGGTGCCGGTTCTGCGACGCTGACGTGGCAGAGGATAGCGTGATCGGCGGATGGTGAGCAGCTTCGCATCTCCGACTCCCCGCTGTGACCTCTGCCTCCTAGTACACCTTCCCCAGCTATTCCGATCCACCAGAATCATCGCGGCATTTTCCGCCTCTCACTCGCTAGTAAGATGTCCTGCGCTCTCGCTATAACGCGTATGCGGGTTCTCTCTCTCTCCCCCCGCCCGTCCGTGGTACGTGTGTTAGGCAGCAGTGGGTGCGCCACATCAGCAGCGGGGACCACATGACGTCAGTGAGGGCGTTTTGGGCGGCAAACTGCAGCGGCAGGGGCGTCGTGGCTGCTGATACGATTGCTCGCGCTGCCGCCCTGGCCGCCCGCCTTGCTGCTTCTGCTGTCGCTGCTGCGTCTGCTCCTGCTTCTGCTGCTTCTTATGCGGATGCTGTTAATAGCAATGGGTCGACTGTGCCTGCAGGGGGTGCTGCACAGGCTGCTGCAAGGGATGTTACAGCAGGTGCTGCCGCCAAGAGACGAGCCAAGAAGCAAAGAGGGAGCAACCACGGCGGTGTAGAGATTAAGCAGACCAAAGAGACCTGGCGGACATTCGTGCTTCCCCCTGCTGCCGCCACCGCTGCTGCTGCTGTTGCTCTGCCATCTCCCCCATCCCCTCCTGCTCCCTCACTCCCCCTGGTAACTCCATTGCATGAACCCCCTTGCCCTCCCCTCACTCCCCTACCACACACTAGCACCCCCTACCCTCCCATCCGGACCACTACCACCACCAAACCCATCATTATACCACCGAACTCATCTGCACCGCTTTTAAACCCCTTATCACCCCCGGAGGGCCTCTCCTTGGTCCCGGACTCCTTCTGTTCCATCCTCTGCCCGCCAATCACCAACGCCAAAATCTGGAAGTTTCGGGCTCAACGTGTCGGGGCAGCCTGGGCAGAGCAGCGCCGGGCAGAAATAAAAGCTGCGCAGGCGGCTCGAAGTGCTCTTGCTACCGCCGCTGCTTCTCTGCGGTTTGCCCCCGCTGGCCCACCGATGGGCGGGGATGCTGATGCTGTATCTACCTCTCTAAAAAGTACACCTGAAGCTGCTCCCACTGCTGCTGCTGCTAGTGCCGCTGCTGCTGCTAGTGCAGGTGGTGAGCGCAGTGAAATCGACCAATCAGGGGGTTCCATGTGGCTTCCGAGTTTTGGCCGTGTGTGGCAGAGCGGCCCTCGGCAGGCCAGCAGGAGGGAGTTTGAGGCAGAGAGACGAGCGCAGAGGAGGCGAGGAGGAAGGGAGAGGCAGCACAGGGGAGGGAAGGAGAGACAGCAGAAGGGAGGGGAAGAGAAGCTGCACAAACTACAGGAAGAGCAGCGGAACGAGGGACCGCAGGGAGGAAGGGAGGATGATGAAGCAAAGGAGAGCAAGCACGGGGATGAGCAGCCTGCAGGGTCTGGGGAAGCAATGGCTCAGCTGATGCCGCATGCAGTTCACCCCTTGCCATCACAGCCCTCTCAGAGGCATGATGTCCCTTCAGTGCCTGTTGCTGCACCAAGGGAGGTAGTCCTAGTGGGCTCTTTCAATGCAGCTTCTGGCGTGCAAGCTTTTGAGCTGAGGCCGTATGTTCCAAAGCGCCTCAAACGATGAAATTACCGTATTTCTTGAAACAAGGCGGGTGCTTACGGGGACAGGCCAAAATCAAGGCCCTTGTTCCAAAATGAGGACTAGGGGACCGGGGGATCCCTTGCGCGGAGGGGTTTTGCATTCTGTCCAGGAGATTATGGTACCTACCTGGCATGTGATGAGTGTGCATACAGAAAGCCCGCAACGGATAGGCTGCTTTGGTGGGAGAGGAAGTATTATCAAACCACCATGGTTGAGATAGGAGAAGAGCGGTTTGCTGTGCTCTCTGCTTTGTGAAACAGTTAGGGCATGTTCCTACGGCCCCTTATCAGGCCAACCTCTTATCAAGCTTGCTTCAAAACACACTGAAAATTTCATAAACCTAAAAACCCTCGCTACTTTACCAGGCAAGGCTGACAAGAGGTTTGCCTGATAAGAGCGTAGGAACATGCCCTTACAACTAGTGGTGCATGTGTGTGTTACAAGTTCTCAGCATTATTGTTTCCTTCAGTGTGTTTTACTACTGGTGCAGTGGTACTTCAGATGTTTTACGATTGAAACCATTCTAGCGCGAAAGATGGTGTATTTTAGCGTGGAGCTGTATTAAGGGCGGGTCCAGCACGTACATTATCCGTACATTACAGTTCATCCAGTGCGGTAATATGTAGTGCGTCAAGTTTCAAAACGGTGCAATTTTAAAACTGCTGTGCACCGCCTGATATCTTTTCTCACCTCGACAAGCGTACGCGCTGGACATGCCCTAAACACCGACACAGCAAACAGACGAATCCCGCGATCTCCTCACTTCCCCCGCTTCCCATCATCCCATCCACACCACCTCGTCCCTGATTTCCATTCTCCGCATGGGTGTTTTGAGTTCATTTGTCCGTTCTTGCCTGACCTTCTCGTCACTGTAGCTTCATCTAGCTTCCATCGACATCATTCCACGATCTCCTCGCATATACGAACCCCTCCCGACCAGTAAGGCTTAACACCCAAGTACACCAGGACTGTGACACTTAACTGAGAGTTCAAGGACTCGAGGCGGTTAAACGTTTTTTAGCACGCACAGTTCATGAGAAAAGGGGGCCAATGTGGCGCGGACGCACTACCCCACTGGCGCTGTGGTAGTGTAGGGTCTAGCCAACTGTGTAGAGTGTACAGAAACGGAAATACTGTAGGATTCTATGTACGCGTGCGAACAGAGGTCGATTGGGGCCAATATCATCTGGGAAGACGTCGCCCGAATCCCTCCGAGGACCCCCTTTCGCCCCTGCGGGTTTTCCTCGGAGGGATTTTCGTTTTCCCTCTGTCGCGTGGCGGGGCACGCGAGGGGCGGGAGCCAGCCTCCCCGCCCGCCCGAAACGACCCACGCCACGCGAGGTGGTCCTCGCTCGAGCTGGCGTTGACCCCGCATGCTCCCCCCGGTCTGCACCAACCCCGCCTGCACCAACCCCCCTGTTCGTCGAGTAAATCCGCCTCCGTCGACGGATTCCGTCTCGACCCGACGGAAAGTGGTGCAGAGAAAAGCGTGGCAGAACGCGCCACAGAACAGCTGACACTGAAATAAAAGCGTATACCTAAACAAATAAATACATAAACTGCAATGGGCAAACTTGATAAGGAATAGGAGGCACAAAAAAGGGGGCATTCCCTACAATTATCATTAATACGTATATCATCAATCTTACTCTTATTCATGCGCAGGTGCCAGGTAGAACATCTGTCGACGGTTTCGCTACCCGTGCGCCGTAGAGCAAGTAAATATGAACTTAATGAGAAATCATTCTTGTACCACCGGGGCCAGCCTTTCTAGGACGCTGCAGGGACCGACTCGACCGAGTACGAAGACGAAGGGTCAGGCGTTACTTTCACCGACCAGCTCGACGCTGCTTGGTCGAACAGCATTCGCCAAGACCAGCTCATCGAGCACAGCATGCCGAGCAGTGCCCATCGAAGGGTTTCATCGACCACTAATGTGCATTAGCAATGCACGTCGGCGTCGTCGACTGGATCCCGTCGAGCAGAGCCTGCGATAGCATTTTTGTCGTCAACCGTCCCGTCGTTGACATAAAACAAAGTGTTCTTGAAGAGAGTTTGAAAACCAATCATTGCCATAGGTGAATTACCAACCTTTTCAGGTAGTGTAAAAATCATACAATTTGGAAAGCTATAGTTTGTTAAATATGATGCTTTTTTCTGTATTTATTACATAGACAAATATGGTCTGTTTGACGGGGTAATAAAATGCAGCTGCCAAACTCTACTGCAACAATAACATTGCTTGTGTCGATTGTCCACGTTCACGATATGTATTAACGTATAGTAAAACTCGAGCATTGTTGATTAGTTATGTGATTGTGAGTCTCGATGCTACAAAGAGAAGTGAAACAGGGTGCTGGCGGCGATAGATATGCTTGGTCGATTGAAATAAAATTCTCGACCGCTTTGCTCTGTCTGTCGAAATCTTTCGTTTTGACAAATGGGGATAATGCGCAGCGCGACAATTTCCGCGTCGAATGCAGATGCTGACTTGCCAAAATCCAGAAACGGCTTCTGCTGTCGATAATCAGTTTCATCGAACAACGTCTCGGAAATTTTGTTTTCCCGACTGTGAAATCGGAACCCTATCGAATGAGTTTCCCTGTTCGACAGAAAGTATTGCAGTACTGTCTCAACAAAAATGTGAAAGTGTATGAGCAAAGTTTTTCAATGTGCTTTGTCGAGACGTTTAGCGGAATCCCTAAGTGCTGTCGAACATCCCGGGAGCACCTGTTGTCGAACATCACATTTGAGTTTTCGTCGAAGAAAAAATATGTGCCGCGAATTCGGAATGTTGTCGAAGGCGATACACCCTTTTAATGCCAACTAGGGCTCTGTCGAAGACAGGAAATTGCAGAACTGAAGTATTAACGCCCTTCCTTCGAGAATTAACACATTTTCGACGGAAATACCCCTTCCGTCGAGAACAACATGTCTGCACATTCTCGACGGAAATACCCCTTCCGTCGAGAATCGTATATTATTTTTAGGGCCTTAACTTGGCTGATATTTTGAGTTACGAAACACTTTCTTTTTAATTCTACGATGGTATATTGAGTTGTCTCCCGTTGATTTCCTTCAATTTCTACTGTTACGGCTGACATATATATTGTCATAAGAATACGACATTGAACCCGCGGGTTTTGGAGGATTTTTTGGCCTGGTCAGCCGGGAATTTCTGGGGGCCCGGAGGGATTCCGCGGGTTTTTCGTTTTGCCTCAATTCCCTTTGTGCCAGGGCGGGCGGGGCGGCATGTGATGACGTCACCCGCGTGTATATAATTGGTTATGATGTACAGCTGGCACGGCTTGCCAACCCCAAAGCAAACACGGGGCACTGAATTCAATTTGATTTTCTTGTGACAATGAAGTGGTCTGCTCAAGAATTTATCAGACCATGGTTCTCGCAAGTGGGGGGGGGGCAGCAAATTGGGATTTTCCTCAGCAAGCAGTAAGAATTCTAGGGACCATTTCCTGGGGGAGTTCCTGGCATCGACCACGGAGAACCTCAATTTATGGCGGGAAAACAAGTGGCTGGCTAGGAGATGGCTGTCACGTGCAAACTTGAAAGCAAATGTCAGGCGAGTGCGAGAGCCCAAGCTCAAGGTCCCCTGAAAGTTCATTCTCGTCTTGTCCGCTTCATTTCGATCAACTCTCGCTCTCGGCTTCGAACAAGTCTCGCTCTCCACTTAGGGCGCGTGTGTTCTTGCCGAACCTGACAAAGTTCGAACTCAAACCGTTTTGCACCGTGGCAAAAAGTTTTTAATTGTATTCTACCGTGACAAACCGTTATAAAAGTTCGAACTTACAGTCAGGTTCGGCAAGAACACACGCGCCCTTAGAACAACTCTAGCTTCCGTCCGTTTCCTCCATAGTCTCCAATTTCTCCCTAAACACCTTAGTTCAGTCTTTATGACATGATCCTTGTACGAGCGGAACGTATTCAGTAAGGTTTTGACCTCGTGGGTAATAAAAACACAGCCCTCAGCTATGCGGTCCCCCGGATCCACCGCGGATTGCGCAGAAGATCGCCGGCATTCCGACGCAGCAGAAGCGATTGATGCTTCGGGGCTGGAGGCCATGGATCAGAGCGGCATAAACCGCGACGCGACTGATGAATACGACGAGCAAGACGACTTTCCCGCCCTTCGACAGGCCGCCACGACAACGAGCCCGACGAATGAAAACGGAGGAGGAACTTCGAAAGAAAAAGACGGGACAGTTGCAAAGTAAGCGATTTAGATGACATGCTACACATGAACAAGGTTGTCGTATCCTGTTACTCTGATAAAGATGTGCGTTTTCGGATCCTCGTTTAGGGTTTTCATTCTCGCCGATTCCGTTCCGGGATTCTCGGATTCCCATCCATGAGGTCAGAATTTCGCCCTGATCATCCCACCCCTTCCCAAATGTGTCTCGTTAATTCCGACATCGTTACCCCGCATGCTTCAAGGTGCTCACTTCGACGGATTATTCCTCATACGGAGTAAATGCGTTTCTCGCATCCAGTCTCTCGTCTCCCACGCGAACCCTAGCCTCCTGCCGTGTCCGCTCATCTCTTCTTCGCCTCTCTCACTCTCCATCCCCTATCCCTTCTCCGCCTTCCGCTGCAGACGGCCGCGACGAAAGCAGCCGTTCCCGTACAAGCACCTGCTGCCGCGTGACGGTTACAACTGGGTCAAATACGGCCAAAAACAGCTATCCGGCGGGCTACACATGAGGTAACACAGCTGTCCGGCGAGCTACAAATGAGGTACTTTAGCTGTCTGGTGGTCTATGCCTGAGGAACGCCAGCAAAGGCTGTATCAGACGAAGTGCTAAACGAAGCGCGATATCTCGTTGAGATTATTTGAACCGCAAAAATACTACGCCACTGATTTTCATGTCGCAGTGCTGGAACCTGCCATTGCAAATTCACTTCATCATGCACCTGCCCTACCCTTTCTTCTCTTCCCATCTTACTTCATTTCTCCTCCCATTCTCATTTTTTTCCGCGCGCTATTCCCTTTATCCACTCGCCAGGCACTATTTCCACTGCATGCTTCGAAACACGGACGCGCGTTGTCCCGCTAAGCGCATCGTCAACATGAGCAAGGCCGACAGCAAGGGGCCGCTCAAAATCGAGTACATCAACGACCACAACCACCGCCCGCACCTCCGCAGCGCCGGCAGCACCCCTTCTTCACATCAGCCGCGCGCCAGTAGCAGCGCGGATATTTTGCTACAGCCTGTGTCATCCGGGCGGCAGTTTACCCTCGGGATTAGCGACGCGCACATTCGAGGCGCGGCGATGGGTGGGGTAAATATGGAGAGTGGCGACGCGGATTCGTTGTTGAAGAACGGAATAATAGGCGGGGGCGCGAACGACGGCGGGTTAGACGCGCTGCGCATGCTAACGGCGGGCGATGGTAATGATTACGCCGCGTTACGACAAACCCTAGACGAAGCGATTCGCAAGGCGGCCGCGAGTCGAGTTCATCAGCAGAGGGCCGGCAGCAGCAGCAGCAGCCACGTCAGCGCGCTCCAGGTCAGCAAATTACTGCAGAACCTTGGGCGGCAGGAGATCGGACAACAGCTGACCGGCATTGCTGCCGGCGGCAACAGTCGAGGGGGCGGCGAGGGCGGTACTGGCGGCGGTAGCAGCGGCGCGGCTCAGCCGTCCCTGTGGCAGCGGCGGGCGGCAGGAGCGCAGGCAGGAGCAGCAATGGCGGCGGCGGCGGTAGCAGCAGCAGCAGGCGGCGCCGCGCCGTTCGGTCTGAGCGCTGGCGGCAACAATCCGCCTACTTCGCTTATGGCGGACCCGGCGCAGCTCGGCCCGCGTTCCGCGCCTGGTTCCGACTCGCTGATGGCCTTCGCAGGTCAGCTGTCGTCGCTCTCCGCGCAAGCGCAAGATGCGCTCGCCGGCGGCGGCGCGGGCGGGATCAGCGGGATGTTTGCGGGCGCGGACGGGATGGGGGGTTCAGGTGGAGCAGGTGGCGAAGGGGGAGGGGGAGAAGGGGGTAGTGGGGGCGGAGGGGGAGGTGGGGGCGGAGGGCGGGAGGGCGGCGGAGCAGCCCCGCAGAAGGGGTCCCTGGCGAAGGCGTCAGGAAGCTTCGATTTCTCGATGCAGGAGGAGCTGCTACACTCGTTTCAATACGAAACGCCCCCCTCCTCCGTGCTCCCCCGCTGGACCCCCTCCGATCAGCCCGTGTGCTCCTCCCCCCTCTTCTCCTCCTCCCCCACCTCCCTCTCCCCCGTTCTCACCCCCTACTCATCCCCCCACTTCACGCCCCCGCGCGCGCTCTCCCCCATTCCTTCTCCGAAGTCCCCGTACCTCTCTCCCCTCCCCGGTTCACCCACCGGAGCAAACGCCAATCTGTCCATTTTCTCCTCACATGCGGCCACACTCGCTGCTCTCTCGAACCTACACTGCCAGGCTACCACCTCCCACTCCCCCTCCTTCGCCTCCCCCCCCGCCTCCTCCCAAGACTTCCCCCTCTCTCCCACCGCCTTCCCCTCCCCTCCCGCATCCGCGCATGACTTCCCCATATCCCGCCCAACCCTCCCGCGGAGCGTCACAGAGGGCGCGTCTAGCCCCTCCCCCCCGCTCATGCACTCCGCGCCTCCGCCCCCGTCGCTAGCAGAAGCAATAGCGATGCTGCAAATGGCGTCTCTCTCCCCCAACCGCACTTCGCCGTGCAGCACCCGCCCTGCTTCCCCGCGCCCCTCAGGCGGGCTCGTCTCCCCCCCGCCCTCGAGCCTCATCTCCCCCCCGCACTCTGGATTCGCTACTCCGAATTACCCTGGGATAGCACCGCAGCTGTATAATTCACAGGGGCAGGGAGGGGGGGGCTTGGGGAAGGACGAGACGATGGCTCACAAGCTTGGAACCGCACTCAACACCTTATTCACGCGGAACCTCACGTCCTCGTCGCACACGTCGCATGTCACGTCGTCCCCTCCCCCCATCTCCCCCCGATCCGCGCACAGCCACTCGTCCGCCTCCGCCTCCGCCAGCCCAGCGCTCTTCTCCCCCCGCTTCGCCTCGTCTGCTGCTGCTGCGAGCGGGGATTTCTTGATCAGTGCGGGCGGAGGGCAGAGTATGGAGGGTATGGGTTATGACGCACTGGCGCAGGCGTTTTTGAGTGACGATCTGACGCAGCAGTGGCAGCAGCAGCAGCGGCAGCAGCAGCAGCAGCAGCAACAGCTACAGCAGCAGGGGGAGCAGCAGCGGCAGCAGCAAGGGGAGGAGGTTAGTATACAGGAGTTGATAGCGCAGGCTCAGCAGCAGCTAAAGCAGGAGCAGAGATCAGAGCAGGCGGGGGGCGGGAATCAACTAGGAGAGGAAGGGGAGGAGGGAGTGGGAGCTCAGGAAGCAGAAGAGCAGAGGCATGGGTTACAGCCATGGCAGTCACTCATCCCTGACGACTGGGGCCTGATGCAAGAGCAGCTGGAGGAACTAGCAGTGAAGCAGCAGGAGCAGGGGGAGGGGGGAGAGAACGGGCAGGAGGGGGGCGTGGAGCTCCCATGGAGCACCCTAGACTCGTTCACACTAGATGACATGCAACTCGTTGCAGATCTCGATTTCAACTCGCAACACCTAAATCTGCAGAGCGATCAGCGACCCTCACACCCGCAGAGCACGCAGCATGACCTGCATGACTCCACAGCCCCGCATCAGGACCCCACCGAGAGGTCTTTCCAGAAGGAGAGCCTTGAGGGCTCGCTGCTAGCACAGGAGATTCTGCTAGCGCAGGCGCAGCTGATTAGTCAAGAGCGGAATAATAATCAATCGCATAGTGATGTTTTTGTGGTTGGTGGTGCGTCGCCGGGAAGAGACAATGCAGTGTTTCTGAAGAGAGCAGGAAATGTGTCGTCGAGCCCTGTGATTGGCTCATCGATCCGCGTCAGCAGCTCGCCAGTCCACATCAGCAAGAGCCGGTCCGCGTCAGCAGCTGTGGTGCTGGTTCCTGTCGAAGCACCGAATAATATCTTTGCGGGCGCAACACAGGGAATAGTTTCTGGGCAGAACGCGGTATTTCCGACAAGCAGAACCGCCCCTGAGTCCGCCCCGAGTGCAAATACAACCTCCCCTGGTCACACCCCACAGCAGGGCTCCTCCCCACACCTGGTTCTCTCACCAGACCAGCAGCTCGAGGTGGGGTTAGATCTATTTGCTGCTGTCTCGGCCGCTTCTGCTTCCGCGTCTGACGCTGCTGCTGCTGCTGCAGATGGGTTTGCAGAGTATGGATTCGGAGCTAGATCTGCTGGAAAGCGAGATGCTGCTGCTGCGGCGGCGGTGGCAGCGGCAGTGGCAGCAGTGGATAATTTTGGTGCTGCACTGGGTAATACCGGTGTTGCGGGTTCTGCTGGTGCTGGTGACACTGGTTTCACGTGGGCTACACTGCCTTTAGCGTCGGATGAGGCACAGCATATGGTGATTTGCGAGGATAGTTCTGGAGCTATACAAGTGGCCATGCGCCCACGCTCCCCTAGCGAGATGTAACATTGAATCTGCATTTGTTTAGTGTGGTGTGGTCCTCTTTGCCGGTACGCGATGAGGTGTGTGAAAGTAAATGAGCCTCTCAATAAAGTTCTTGAGACCCTTTCCTTCTCTGTATTGGCTATTGTTCTTGAGCGTTACAGTACCAGAGAATACCACTCTGGACATTGATGGTGTTTATAGATGCACAACATTAGGGTGAGCAAACGGGCTATAGTAGGCCCGGTCCGGTTTGTACAGGATAATGACGCATCACCTCGAGCCATTTTGAAGGATTGATAAGTAGACCCTCCAGCGCACTGAAGTCACAATTGGGTCCAAAACTTTCAATAACGCCCGCAACCAAGCTGGGTTTCGGGTTTAGGAACTTTTTTTTCTAAGGAACTTTTTTTCTTTTTTGCTATTTACAGACGCTTATAACCACACCCCCCCCCCCTGATCTATGTGAAACACTCTATGTCATGGTGTTTTGTTTCCTCCGTCAGCGGGATAATTTGTATTGTGACAAACCAGCGTTATTCATACCTGGTATGGTTGATTGATAACGAATTTTCCGCAAACACGGAGTTGTGGTGTTTTGGACACCCCCCTGACATGTGGAGATCCATGCTTGTTTGAGGGGCTCCCAAACAGAGCCTTGGGTTTGGCAATCTATATCTGGCTTGGGCACCTATTTTGGCGTGTGCGAAGTAGTTTCGACGCAGTTTACCCTGCTCTTGTTTGGATACGACCAGGCCGCAGGATTACAGGGCATTGTACACTGATTAGCATGTTTTAAGGGTGGTTTTTGCAGATCTCACTGTAAATACAGGTTTGAAGTGGTTAGCCACCCTGTCACGATCAGGCCTCGTGAAATTAACACCCTTGTTTTGCAGTCGTTGGCTTCTTTAGCACACTGCCTTGGCCGAGTTCGGTAGTGGCAGAGGTCTGACTGAGTTTTGTTTCCCTTAGCCAATCGTATGCTCCCGTCAGTTCCAGCCATTGGCCCAATTTTCTTGACTTACTAAAAAACCTCGAAAACTGGCGAAGTCTTTGCCACGGAGACACTCACACATGCACCACGTCAAGCATGCTCGAAAAACTGGCCAAAGTCCTTTCCACAGAGACACTCACACATACACCACGTCAAGCATCGAATGTGCTCGAAAACCGGCTTGTAGCGTAATTTTTTTTCCCACCCTGCCATACCAGACCAGAAAATATTCAAACGCCCTGCCATTTCAAGGGTACGAAGCGGCAGCCACACTGCAGTGGTAGTGTGACTTTGACCTGGAACTTTGACTTGGCAGGGTGGCCCAAAACGAATCAAGACCCCTGGATACAGTTGGCCAATGAATACAGTACGATGGCTAGGTGCTCATTCTTGGGTGTGAAAACAAGGGAAATTATACGCGCAGTCACAATTATGGCCGTATTATCACGTCTGGTCACGGGGTCATCACGGACAGTCAAGTACAGTACCTCGCTATCACGCGTGATCACTGCGCTATCACGCTTGGTCACACCTCGCCCCGCAGGGTTATCACGTTTGGTGTGACCCAAAGAGGTCGGATCGACCAGGATGGATTTCTCATTTCTAGGAAGGCTGCGTTGCCGATCTAGCCAGCCAGCTCGACCCAATCGCGTCGGGTTGGGTCTGCCCGACCTGGGTCGACCTGGTCGGGCCGACCTGGTCGACCAGACCAGCTCAGCAAGATTGCGACAAGCTTACTTAGCTAGCGAATTTCAAAATCTCGCTGAAAGCTCGTATTGTATTCGTTCACGAACTGGAAATCCAGCGAGGCTAGTTTCGGAGTAACCGTTAATTCAGCGAGTCACAGCTCGCCTACCCTGCAGGGAAGCTAGAAACAAATTGCGCTGTAAGTGGTCAGTGGTTATGCCAATTTCTCGGAAATTATTGGAGACCCTGAGCCGTGATGGTCAGATCGACCAGGTCAGCCCAACCCAACCCAACCTTGCTGGGTCGCAACAGGTCGTAATTTTCACGGCTCAGTTGTGGTTCTGTACCAACAGCCATGTGTAGCTGGTTGTCAGGACATTGTAGAGTATCGATCGAAACTGCCTACAATGGTTTGATAGGCATGGGGAGGCTATAGCGTACGGTACATAACGGTAATTTGCGACGGCCATGACCTTGGGACTGGATGGTTGTCTTTGAAGTGAACGGACTTGTTCCTAGCTAACCAGCCAAACTGAACTTTCACTGCTAGCTCACCTCCGCAGCTATGGCGACAAAGGCGCTGCCTGTCGTGAATCTCCACCAACCGGCTTCAGGAGGTGCAATCGCTAGGATCTAAATATTGCAACTCGCTGCATTTTAACGCTCGTTTTGGACGGTGCATCACTTGCCCGTCTCATTAGCCGGTGTGCCACCCTACCAGTCCCTTCGAAAGCTTGGTGATTAGGCGTTGTAGATATCACGCACGTGAGCTTAGCAGCATTTACTGTGCTTCTGTCCAATGAAGCATCTAGTGAACCTTCGTTGCAGAATTTGTGGTACGAGTGCAAGGAAACGAGTGGTCAGGTGGCGGTCTCAACGGAGTTATCCCTGTCCACGTAATCAAGCCCGCCCTTCACAGCCAGATTCTGCGGGAAAAGATCATATAAGGGCCAAAAAGTGCCAGAGAGATGATCAACCAGGGGCTGAGAGGCCCTAAACTACCAAACCACTGCGCAAAGAGACATTTGCAGAAAGACATCTCTTTCGCACTTATGTTTGCTAAATATTTGCATTTTCACTCGAGCGTCATTAATTCATGGATATCGTTAATGATTCATGACCTTCCACCCAATAGAGTCGTTTATCAAGCCACAAACTCTTAAGGCATAAAAAACAAAAACAAAAACCCCTAGGGAACCTGGATGCATTTTCGGCATGGATTTACCCTAAAAACAAACTTTCATTGCGTTTAGGGTTGATGCCTCCCGAGACGCACACGTATCCCAATGGGTTATATTTTTTCTGTAAGCGCGTTTCGATTGGGAAGATTATATATATTACTAATAACATAACATATGGTTTTGGACTCACAATTCAACACGGCGAATGCAACTTTGAGATGAGTGTGACGCGCGCGCAGTAGTAGAATACCAAAATAACGTAACGCTACGCATTTACCCTTTGTTACGGTTCAACTTGCTTGCCTAACCGCTTGGGCAGCTCCGGATTAATATCCTACGATCGAGATTTTCCGTCCCTGCTTTGATCATCTCTCTAGTACTCTTCGGACCCAGTTTGATAATTTCCAAATTTATGCTTCTTGTTCATTCGGAGGAAAAGATCATACTGGGGCCGAACAGTACCAGAGGGGTGATCAAACAAGGGCCAAGAGGCTCGGAATTAACCAAACCGCTGCGCAAGGAGGAACTAACCAGAGGGTCATCATTGTTTGCACGTTTGCACGTTTCTGTTACTAGTTCCTTATACAAGCTCGCATTTTTACTGGCGTGTCATTTAGCGAGCTGACTCTACCGGGAATTCTAAGGGCAGCAAAAAAACTAAAACCCCTAGTGAACTTGGATGCATTTTAGGGATGGATCAACCCTAAAAACAGGAACCTTCCTTGCGTTTAGGGTTGATGCCTCCTGAGTCGCATATGTTTCCGAATGGGTTATATATTGTTTTCCTGCGCGTTTCCTATTAGGTGGGCAATATGTATCACATAGAATATAAAAATATTATTTTGTATTCACGATTAAATACGCCGAAATTTACATCCAGAAAAAATGCGACGCACTTGATGTAGTAGATGGCGATCACCACTATCAGCAAATACAAATGAACACGAGATTTGGTTCTTGAAGTAATTTTCTATCAATTACGGCTCGGCTTGATCACCAAGTCGTCTGGGCAGCTTCGGGTTAAATCCTACGGTCGAGATTTACCGGCCCTACTTTGTTATCCCTATGGCACTGTTCGGCCCTTATCTGATCATTTCCCTTCCTTCAGAGCTTTTTTCATGCCTCGCTTCGTTGTTTCAACAATCCATCTCCCGAAGCTGAAAGAATTACTGTAGAACCCTGTTCGATGCTTCATCCTTATTCGCGTGGCCTCAAATTACTCGAGTGGCCACCAAATTTGGTAATAATTACTCGAGTGGCCACGCCAGGGCATTTTTTGGGTGTTTTTTTCCCCGACACATTACCCTAAGGAGGTTTGCAGCCCCGACATGCACCGTTTGCACGAGTATCATCGCGCAATAGTGTTTCTTACTAGTCCCCACCCGAAAATTTTGCCAGGATGGCGGGCGCGAACGTGGCCCGCTCACTGTACAAGTAATCGACAATTATTTCGACCAGCAGTAAATGTGCGCTCAATTTCAGGCAAATGCGCGACCAATGAACGCTATGTCAAACAAATCCGTAACCAATCAGCGATTGAGCAAATAAATCATCGATCATATACTTCTATTGACCCGCAATGAACCGCAACACCCCTAATGCACGCGCATGATTCGTAAAAAATATGTGTGGTGCAATTGATGCCATTGCACGTCCAATCAAGCGTCGTCATTAAGGATTGTGATCATATTTGACCACGCTCATTAAAAAGAGTGATGCGCATATGATCGGTCCATTGACCGGATTTTATGTTCGCTGTTAGCGCGGATGCTTAACGTTTCGTAACAAGGACGACTACAGTTTGATCCGCCATTTTTGCTACATAAAAACATAGAAACTGGAGGTTAAGCTAAGGTTCTCAGTAAGAATTTAAAAATTGCCAGACTTGAATAAGCATTTCTGGCTTCACTTTAGTCCGATTGTATCTAGTGATTTGGAATTATATGTATGGAGACTTCACGGATGATTGTATGTAAACTTTGATAGGCATGAATCAAGTGCCATTCAAATCTAATTGCTTACCTTGCTTGCTAGACATGTCAGCATTTGCTCAGCGTGTGCAGGGGCGACTGACGACATCATCGAAACCTTCATTGGTAACTAAACACAAGATATGCTGAAATGGCTTGCATTTTTAACTCCAAATAAATGTTTATAACTTAGCATAGACATGCATGTAGCTTGACATGCGTAAAGCTTCAAGGCATAGTGTTTTAAGATGTTGTTGTTTAAATGGTATATTCAATGCACTCGCAATATGCTGCAACCATATAACCGGCAATACAATAATATGGATCACGGTTATGCTGGGCTAGAAGTATGTGTACATAATATATTTATGACATTTGATAGACATGATTTTTTATGTACGGGACATATGATACGATTTATCTTAAAATGTGCGCGCTCATATTGGTTGTTGGGCGATCTTTTATTACCTACATATATGGTCGTGAACTAAATAACCGCGCCTGATTGGATGCGCATTGCCAAACAGGGAAACTGATATATTATCAATCAATCATACGCGGTCACAAATGGGTTCGCGCATTTATGCCCCCGCAGTGCAGTTTATGATCGCTGATTTTTTTTACCGCACGCTCATTGGTCGCACATTTGGTAAAAAATGACCGCGCATCCATTGTTGGTCGTGCATTTTTGACGGTTTTGTGTGCTGTGTGGGAGCCACGTTGGCGCTCACCACCCACCCAAAATTTTTGGGTGGAGAATAGTATAAAACACTACCGCAGGATGAGACTCGTGCGAACGAGGAATTTTGGGGATACAAACCTTTGTAGGGAAATGTGCCGTGGAAAAAAAACCTCTAAAGTGCCCTATCGTGGCCACTCCAGTAATTATCACGTAATTCTAGGCCACGCGAGTAAAGATGAATCACCGAACAAGGTTCTACAGTAATTCTCTCCCCGAAACTGCTGAATCTTTTCAAAACGCGGAGGCCCAGCCGTGTTGTTGCAGCTCACTAGGTTTTACGGCTAGAGAACGACATCCGATCAAATAGTATCAGATCCCGTGGCTGCTTCGTTGTTTTACTGTAGTGCGAACGAAGGCGACTCGGTGATCAAGCCTCTGCCCTACGATGGGCTGGGACAAATCCGCTCCTCCAATAGCCGTGCGTGTTCCGTCCCAGGGATGCGTTCCCTGTCGGCCTGTTCACGATAACAATCCAGAACTCCTCTGGATGAATCCCTCCCATCATCGGCCCCACAAGAAAGTGGCTTTAGAAATACGCTAACGCACCTTTGAATGGAAGTATGATCTGACTACCACCCGCGAATCCGACCTCTATTCACATCTTAGTTGCTTGGCTCCGTCCCGACTAGGAGCATGGCGCTTTGCCAAAACGACGCTCTCCGTGCGGCGCGCAAGCGATCGCGGGATCAGGATGAACTGCGACACGAGGTATCTTCAAGCGTCGCCGCGAAATGCGGCGCAGGATACGCCAGGATGGCTTCTGCCGAAAGGTAATGCATTATTCGAGCGGGAGAGAGAGAAGGGACGAGTTTCGGGGGGGAATTGGAGATGATAGAAGTGACTGATTTATATATTTACCACGCGTGTAACCCTAAAAGTGACTGTATTTCCACCTTAGTGGTCTCGTAACATGTGACACAAATCACGTCCGCACAATCTCATCAAACCTCCATCCCCCACATTCCATGTGCCACGACGACTCTTGCAGAATCGTGCAGATTCTGCGAATCCCGAGCTTCAAGGGCGATCCGAACACGCAAGATGATGGAGATCATGATCATCATGACGCTTCTAGGAGCCTGCAGGCACGCGGAAGCCACGATCGGCCGAGCCAGAACATGGACTCTTCGTGGCCCGGTTCTCAGCTTCACCAGAGAATAGACGGCTTGGAATCTCGAGAGAAACAGCGACTGAGGTTCAGAAGACCTGAGGAAAGGCCCGAGACACCTGAAAGTCGGCCTGAGACACCTGAGAGTCGACCTGGGAGTGGCGGCGGCGACGGCAGGGGGAAGCAGCGCGACGGCAAGAAAGTGCGCATGGTGCAATACCCCTACAAGCCGCTGCTGCCACGCGATGGGTTCAGCTGGGTCAAGTACGGTCAGAAGAAGCTCACCACGGGCGACAACATGATGAGGTGCGTGTCTGGACCGAACTGGGAAGCCGTGGATACGGATAGGGTTAATGTGGACCTATTTTGTCGACGCTTTGCAGCCGCTCTGTGCTGCTCTTCCTCTCTCATTGGGAAACGCATCAATCATTCTCCTGCTGTTCCTGCTCTCTTCTTTCCGTCCCTCACATGATGCCTGCAGGCTCTACTTCCAGTGTGGCCTGCGCACGTCCCACGCCTGTCCTGCACGGCGCACGGTGGACCTCAGTTGCTGCGACCCCTCCGCTCATCTGCTGCTCAACTACCACAGCACGCACAACCACCCGCCTCACTACCACGCCGCTGCTGCCACTACCACTACCTCTCCTGGGACGCTGCCCAAAGGCCCCTCAGTCAAAGACCGCGCAACTGTAACGAAGGATTCTGCAGCTGTGACTGCTGGTGGTGCTGCTACTGCGGCTGCTGTGGATTGTGTTAACAGCAGCCCGGCGAGCAAGCGGGCGGCTGTCAAGGAGGACGCAACGGCGGCAAAGGCTGGTTCCCCTGCCTCCTCTCCGTCATGCCTGCCAGCCCGGGTTTCCAGTCCAGTCAGCTGCGGCACGTGGGGGGCTCCGTCCGTGCCTTCACTCTCCACACCCTCCCGCCCCGGCTCGAATGCGTCTTCTTCGTCCCAACACGCTCCCGCCTCGGCTGTTGCCGACTGGCGGGCTGCGCTAGCAGCACTGCTGATCGGGTCGCCTGTGCCTGCTGCCGCTGCTCTTCCTGCTCCCGCTCCCCGCCGTGCTCCTTTTTCCTCTATAAAGCCTGCTCCTGCGCCAGCCAGTGCAGTTTCTCCCTCAGGGAGTCATGCGCCTGATGCGTCTCCCTCGCAGGCGCAGCCTCAGTCGCACCCGTTGCCGGCTGAGGTTATTGCAGCGCTGGCGCTGCTGGTTCAGTCAGCACTGGAGGAACGAGGGCTTCTGGGGGCAGGAGAATCTGGATCTGTTCCGGCTGAAGGCACGCCACAGCAGCAGCAGCAGCAGCAGCAGTTGAAGCATGAGCAACAGGAGGGGCTAGATACAGACTGCCCGGCGCCAGCCGCTCACCTGATCCCGGCCTTCCAGAATCTCACAAATTGCCCTCAGCAGAGTTTCGCGACGTCTGAAAGGCCAAACGACGTGAATTTCTTTCAGGGAATGAGCCCTGGCTGTCATGCTACTGCTGCTGATGCTCGTGCTGCTGCTGCTGAATCACACCTGATGAACTGGGAGGAGTCTGGTGAAGCAGGAGCAGATCTGCTTGGGGATGCACTCACGTGGCCCAGCGATTCATGGCCCGATGGAAGTCAGCTACTCGTTTTGAAGCAGTGCATGAATTCTGCAGCGCACAGTGAAACACCTATTTTGTTCGCAGGCCAAAGTTGCTGTAATGATCCGCAGGGTGATGGTTTTAGGGTGATTGGAGCTGATGCTGCGGAAGAAAGGTGCACCACTGCAAACCAGCAGCAGCTTGTGATTTGTGAGGATGCGTCTGGAGCAATTCAAGTTGCTGCACGCCCTTTTTGTGAACCTTCAAAGGGCTTCCAAGATTTTTGCAAGGTGCCAGATATTTTTATGGCGACTTGTGGTTCGACAGATTCTATTGGAAGCTCAGGACAGAACTCGTGCAAGGACTTGGCAGAACTTTTACACTCCTTGAGCCCATCATCGAGTGTTTTTGATAGTTTGGACGAGCTTTATGATGGTGAGAGTTGGTAATCCTTTTTGTTATTGAATCACTAAAAATCTTAGTATGGAGGAGGCTGTTTTGTCTTAGTAGGTTGCGTCTTTCTGCTATTCCTTCTGAACTGACGGATCGATCGTCAACATCGAGGGCAACCACGTACGGATATGAACGCCCCGACAGTGGTGTTGGAAATAAGAAGTCGCTAGAGCGCAGCGGAAGCTCTAGGAATTAACGACGTCCCTACGGCGGGGCTATTGGTCACTCAGAGGTAGCTCTCCTGGCTTGTAACGTGGTGCCAAAGCAGCGGCCGAGGGTAGGCCGGACACAAGCTTGAGAATTGTCTAATATGAGTAAGGCATTACATTCTGTTATATAGCAAACGCATAGGGCAAACAGTTACCAAGGCGCAACTGTATAACAGTTGCGCTGCGTCGCTTGGGTTGCCTTGTTACAGTCGCACTGGCGAGACTTTTCAGCTTCGGCAAGGGCGCGGTATCCTGCCGCGCCCCACAGGTCAGTTTCGCGTACTGTAGACGATGACTCCTGCTGTCGATTAGACTCTTGAGCTGCCACGCGGGTCGCAACCGCTGTGCTCGGTTCCGGCCCGTTGACTCGCCATCAGGTTCAAATCCCTCGCTATGGCGAGCCCTTGTAAGCACACTTCGAACAGTGCACTTATAATAAAAGCATCAAACCAACAAACAAGGAGTCGTGGAGCTTCAGTCAAACGAAACAAACGTGATCCTTCAACTAAACAAAGTACTCGTCGTCGACAACCTCGGCTTCAACTTACTGAGCGTCAGCCAACTCATGTCGAAAGGCGTTCACCTGGAGTGCGACTCCGACGCCCTGGAAATCCGTCTTTACCACGGAAAAGGGGGGGTTTTCATCGGCTGCGCAATCCAACAAGACGATGTGTTCGTCCTCGATTTCGTCCCCGACAAAGGCACCGCCGACAGTGACGGCATAGTCGCTCTCGCACCGGCTACGTCTACCGTCTCGAGCCCGTCGGAACTATTTCCTGGCAATCAAGTAAGCAGGAACTCGTCGCACTATCATCTGCTGAAGTAGAGTATATTGCTCTCTGCACCGCTACCAATGAAGGTCTGTACCTGCGCGAACTGCTGGAAGAAGCGAAAATTGCGAAAGTACCTAGCTTCTCGCTTTTCTGCGACAACCAGTCCGCGATACGGATCGCGAACAAGAATGGCTTCGCCAACAGAACCAAGCATATCGCACTGCGATACTTCTTCGTAAAAGACGAAATTGAGAAAGGAAAACTCCAGCTGGACTACTGCCCGACCACCGAGATGACAGCAGATTAGCTCACCAAGAAGCTGCCAAAGGGGAAATTCGAGTACTGCATGCTGCTCACCGGATTGGGCCACGTCACCGAAGCTGACCAGGCGGTTACAGCTCGCAACCTCCAGTTGCGGTTTGATGTGGTACGCGCCTTTTCGACTTCATACTCCTTTTGTTGTGCTTCAGTATCGGGTGAGGTTCGATACTATAGAAACGCACTAAGTTATGTGTGAGAATTCCCAACACTCCCCTTCGTTTCTGGAGTGTCGACGTGGTCAGCTTCGGTGACGTGGCCCAATCCGGTGAGCAGCATGCAGTACTCGAATTTCCCCTTTGGCAGCTTCTTGGTGAGATAATCTGCTGTCATCTCGGTGGTCGGGCAGTAGTCCAGCTGGAGTTTTCCTTTCTCAATTTCGTCTTTTACGAAGAAGTATCGCAGTGCGATATGCTTGGTTCTGTTGGCGAAGCCATTCTTGTTCGCGATCCGTATCGCGGACTGGTTGTCGCAGAAAAGCAAGAAGCTGTGTACTTTCGCAATTTTCGCTTCTTCCAGCAGTTCGCGCAGGTACAGACCTTCCTTGGTAGCGGTGCAGAGAGCAATATACTCTGCTTCAGCGGATGATAGTGCGACAAGTTCCTGCTTACTTGATTGCCAGGAAATAGTTCCGACGGGCTCGAGACGGTAGACGTAGCCGGTGCGGGAGCGACGATCGACACGATCAGCAGCGTGATCAGCGTCGACATAGCCGAGTAGTTTTAGGTCGGTCGTTGTGCTCTTGTGATACGTTAGGCCAACTGTTGGCGTTGAGATGAAGTAGAGAAGGGCACGGTTGAGTTCCTTGAGGTGACGTTCTTCTGGGCGCTTGAGGTAGGTCGCTAGCTGGCTGGCGCTGTAGGATAAGTCCGGTCGGCACGTAACGGCGGCAAAGAGTAGGCAGCCCAGTTTCTGTTGATATTCTTGGATTCCAGCAGACGGCAGTGGGTTGGTTTCTTCAGTTGGATCGAGTGATAGGTGACAGTAGGGTGTTGCGACGTGCGTTGGTGTGATGCAGAAGCGTTCGGCGATAGTGCTTGCGTATTTTGAGGCGCTGAGACGAATGGCGTTGTCTTCGTCGAGGATGTTGAGCCCTAGGTACTGCGTGACGTTGGGTGAGACTGTGAGGGCGAGATCGGTCTGAAGCTCCTTCTCGAACCAGGTGACGATGGTGGTAGTTGACCCGATGTAAAGTAGATCGTCGACGTAGACGATTAGCAGGATGTAGTCGTTGTCGTGAGTGAGGCGATACATGCCCTGGTCATGGGGCAGTTGGTTGAATCCGATGCATTTTAGTCGTGCGTGCAGGTACTGCTGCCAGAGTCGCGGTGCCTGCTTAATTCCGTATAGTGATTTAAGTAGTTGGCAGACGAGGGAAGGGTCGTCGACGAACCCGTGGGGCTGTTCGACGAAGATTTCAGCGTCGACTGGGGCGTACAGAAAAGCGTTGGCGACGTCGATTTGTCGGAGTGGGCGGCGACGTGAGGCGGCAATGGCGAGTAGAATGCGCAGGGAAGTATGTCGACTGACTGGTGCAAAAGTTTCAGTGAAGTCGCGACCATATTCTTGGTCGAATCCGCGGACGACCCATCGAGCTTTAAATCGTTCGATGGTTCCGTCGGAGTTGGTTTTGATCCGGAATACCCATTTTCCGGAGAGAATAGGTCTGTTTTGTGCGAGTGATGCGGGGACGATCTTCCAGGTGTTGCGGTCTGAAAGCGCTTTTAACTCCTTTTCCATGGCTTCGCGCCATTTTTCTTTGTGTTCCCCCCCCAGAGCCTGCTTGACAGAGCGAGGCTCTTCAGGTGGCGTCGAAGTCCCGTGCACTGCAGCTACGAGTCCCAGGACTTGGAGCCCGCTGGGTGTGTGACGGTTCAGCATGGGATCCTCGGGATAGACTGCTTCGTCTCCCGCTTCAGGATCAGGTGTGAATCCGGGGCCGTATCGTTCTGAAATGTCGGTGTTGACGGGTTGGGGTGTTACGTAA